TATATATATTTATATATATATTCACACACACGCGCGCGCACACACAAAAAAAGTCTTTGATAGGCTTTCTGTGTTCTAGTAAAAATAGTTGGCAGCTGCAATCTGTGAGACCAGAACTGGCTTTTGTGCTGCCTGCGATGCCCCACTGCAAATTGTCTCTCAAAGGCAGACGCTTGTATTTATCTGGCAGGTCGAGCTGGTGCCTGCCTGAGACAGAAATAACCTCCCATTGGGACACACACAGAGCTCGTAGATTTTTTGCCTGGACCCTGCAGATGAGGAAGATCCTTGAGGCAAGTTAGGTAGTTTGATTTTTGCAGAATTCAATGTTATCTGAAGTCAGAGGGGGAAGAGAGACAGAGAGAGAATTAGTGGATATATGTTATTTTGGTCTTGTGTTTAAAGAAGCTTCCTTCGGACAACTCGGCTGCTACAAAAACTGGGTAGGCAAGTGTATTAAGATGGGAAAGTCTGATACAAATCTGGGTGAGCGTATGATCTGCCTTTACCATGAGCCACCTAAGACCTCTGGTTTGTTTCTGCTAATGTACCCACTGTGTTTTCTTGACTTGGAGCTTCCGGGGACACCTCCGTGTTTGGGTTACCCAACCAGAGGTACCCCGCTGCTAGGTGGGGAGCATGCAATGAATCCTCCACCGGGACTTCTGGCACTGTGATCTCATTGCCAGTTACGCTTGCAGGCTCACAGTACTGACTTTTATGTATATTTTATGTGTACGTGTAACACTTTTATGTATATTAAAAATAACTTAAATGCCACAGTGGACCTGAGTTTCTCCTTGTAAAACAGAACATAAAAATGAACACGTGGCAGCTGTTAGACACATGGCAGCTACAGGGGAGTGCTCTAACATCACCGAGAAGAGCACAGTAAGATAACCTACACAGCAGAATATTACAGGGCGACTGACAGTATTTGCTCTTATCTTGCAATCACAGTAAGAGTCTCCAGTTTTAATATCCAACCATCTGATCTCCCGAAAGAGAGATGCATTTTAAAAGCAACTTAGTGTTAAAAACATTGAGGCAACTGCTTGCAGTAGTGAAATGCCTTGGATTTCAATTGTAGTATATTACGTATGGGGTTTGGGTTTTTTTTGTATTTTTGAGAGTTTTTTTGTTAACACCCGTGGTCTGGATTTGGAACGTCTTAAAATGCAAATGTTTGGAAATAACAGGAATTGCAATAAAATTCCCATTCTATTTATTACACCTGACACTAAGATAGGAAAATGTTAGCTTACGTTGCAGCCCTGTTCCTGGGAGGTTTGTGTTCTATGGGAATCTCCTCCTGCCAAAGCTCTCAGTGGGCTCCACAGCGGGAGCTTCTCAGCCACATCCTTCGGTGTCTTCCATCATTGTGGCAGGAGGAGGGGATGAGAACCAGATGCCCATGTATTCTTGAGCCACCAGAAGAGGCTTAACTCAACACCTATTTTACTTTTGTTCTGTGTTATCAGTTTTAGTTATTCTCTCTTCCCCTTTGGAAGTTTCCCCAGTGCAACAACCTGTGTCTCCTAATGTTCCCTTTATTTCCAAATGAAAACATCAGCTACAAAAGCTTTTCAGGTCAAGACTGGTGAATTAAGGTCTTCTTACAGAAAAATGTATGATAAAAGATTTAATTATGTTGGCCAAGTAAATCTTATTTTAAAGTGACAAGGAAACAAAGAATTTAGGAACACTGTGTATTTTACAGCCACATAAATCTGCTTGAACAACAGATGCTATTATCCAAGCACTTTAAAAATAATGAATCAGCCTTTGCCACAGAGTGAGGCTCGTTTGCATATGATATGTTCAATCACTACTAGCAGAAACCAAGCTAGGAAGGCCTGCTGCACTAGTGTTTTCACACCAGTGTTTCAAATGGAGCAGCTCAGTGACTCAGAAGGCTACAAATCTGCAGGAGAACTGTGGTGTGGTTTGTTTTTGCTGCAGGGCTTGACATCCTTCGCTTACCTCTCCATCTTTGGATTCCAGCCTGAGCTCTGTCCTGCACGTGGCTTTCAAGCTGCCGGCCTCAGCGTTGATCTCGATGCCTTTTGGAGCCTCCATCACCAGCGCACGCGTAGGTGACTCCAGTCTGTAACAGAAAGGGGAGTTACAGAGCCCGGTGGGTTGAATATCCACGCTTAATCTCACGCTGTCATCTTGCACAGCCTGACTGCTGGCTGCACAGCACCTTAGGACCTGTTCAGATCCACACCTGGTTTAGACAGTAGAAAGAATTCATGCATGGTGTGGAAAACACATCACAAATCCAATCTGCTAACATTTCACATTGTTTTTTCTATGCTGTAAATGCTGGGACAAGATGCAAGGCGTAAGAGCTTCCCTGATCATCAACTTGCTCATATGCAAGATGTGAGGTTTGGAAGAGTTTAAGGGCATAAAGAAATAAATGGGGGGAAAAAAAAAAAAGGTTGAAGGTCCCAAAATTCCTGGTCTCCACTCCTACGCTGACATCCCACTGCTCACAGCCAGGTCCCCCTGTGCAGTGCTTCGACCCCTCATAACCATGGATACACCATGTAGGGAGCTACCAACCCCATTATAGCACTGGCTAATACAGCCAAACCTTTTAGTTCAGGCAATTGGGGTTAATGGTATAAGACGTAGAAGTGCAAGGTTCAGTCTTCCCTCCTGATTATCCATTCAGAGGTCTCGTATTGTATTTGTCTCTTCTTTATAATACAGTGTCTTATTGCTTTCTGTATTGAAAATGATAAAACCCAATTCTCCCTCTTTGGGAATATCCTCTTAGTTGATTTTGTCATCATTTATTTACTGTACCATCACAAAATCTAGACTACGATCTCCCCAGGTGAAGCAGGCAGGCGGACTGGAACAGAAACTCCTCTGCTTCGACTGCTTTGGGCAGGCAGCAGCGATCGCACGGACAGAACCGAAGCACGCAGCCACCAAGCTTACTTGGGCAGCTTTTAGGATTTGCTTGCATTGCTGCAGCGGCACTTCGGCTGTTTCTTCAGCTCTTCATATATAATCATTTGTGCAAGTAAGTGTATTCTTAAATGGACTCCTGCTGGTACTGGGACAACATTATAGGAGACTGAGGGAATTCAGCTGTATTTATTGCAGCCAACAGTTCAATAAAGCAAAGGCACAGTTCCCTCTGTGTGGCATTCTTCAAGTTATGACTTTCCCTCTTGTTAGTGTCTTCATATTACTGCTTTTCGAACACCTTTCCCTCAAGACCCCAAACTCATCTGTAATTTCCTGGCTGACTCAACTAAATCTAAATTTCAGGGAAGAACCAAGGCATACACAGCCCAAGGAATGAGCATGGTCTCGTGGTTAGCAGCCTCTGCATGGGCTTTCTGAGCTGCTTTTTCTTTGCTCTCTGCTGGGAAGCTACATCTTACATAAACCTTCTTCTGATCCCTCCACTGGTATCACCCTTGGCTGGTTCCTGTATGAGGAACCTAAGCTTAAGTCTGCTGCTACTCACTTTTTCTTCTTTTTTTTTTTTTTTTCCCCTCCCCCTATTGAGTTGCAGATTGCATGGAGGATAAAAAGCTCGCAAAGAATGATTCACATTAAATATTGCTACCTGGGATATGATTCCCTCTGACCTTCCAATTGCAATAACTGCCTTTCCAATATCTGTTAGAATTTCTTTATGGTAAAAATAGCCACAGCACACAGCCTTAGGGCCCTGGTACACGCGCTCTGGTGGCTTTCATTACGGTGGCTTAACACACTGTCTGCCCCACATCTTCCCTGGAGATTTCTGCCCTGTACACAGTACATCCTCATCCGTGGTGGTGCAGCTCTCAACCTGGTGTCTACCCTGAAAAATGAAGGACGCCCTGCTTGTCCTAAGCCCCCAGGATTTGAGCTGCAGTGGTTGGGATGCAGGCACACATTCCCTCCTGCTGCCTCTGCTCCCAAGGCAGGATCCTCCAGAGGAGAAGCAGACAGCTGAGGCCAGTAATGTTTTAAGTCACTGTAGCTAAATTCACCAGAGGATGTGTCCAAACCCCAAGACAGCTGAGCTAATCCAAGGATAAAATAATTCCTAAGAACCATGGCCAGGTGACTCTTCAGCTCTCTGACATCTTAGTGACTTCAATTTCTTTGATGTCTTGGCTGTCTCAATATATTTGTTCATCTGTTAATCTTGTAGCTCTTCTGCCCACTGAGAAATAAATCTTGTAAGTGCAAAACAGCGTTCAGACACCACAGTGCAAATGCACTCATTTGCAGCAGCACTCAATTGCTGCCCTGTACAGGAGCAGAGGAGCAGCCTCCCAGTCCCACACCAGTGCTTCACTGGAGAGTGTGGAGAGCTGGGAAATTGGTGAATGTCTTCCCACGGTGCGGGGGCATCAAGAGAGGACCTTCTTGCATATCTTCCCCTGTGCCCACAGGTCCCCGTAACATCAAACTGAGTTAAATTCATGCTTTGAACAAGTTACCAAGTACCTGGCAGTCTATTAGATAACATTGTCCCAAAGGTTTATTCTGTTTTCATATCTAACAGAGTGGTTCTCCCTCCTCCACCCACAAATGACCCTCTCGAGTGCCTCCCAACAGTTCACGCAGTAACATGGGACAAGCACGCAACGCTGGGGCTTTGCTGCTGCTCTGTAAGCCACCGTGTTCCTTGCAGCATCGCGTGTGTTTTTGAAAGTTACCTGAGCTGACCCCCACTCTCTCATCCTAAATCACTAGCTCAGACAGCTGCAATCTTGTTGATATGCTGAATTAACTAAACCCCATGCCTTTAATGTTAAAAATATAATTTTGAAGCCCAGGGTTTGGTTTTTTTTTTAGAACCTTAAAACTATGGAAATGAGTGCAAGTACTATAACAGCAAAGTGCAGCTCCTCCAATGACAACAAATTTGGGCTCGCAGCCCACATGGGTTTGTACTTGTGCCGTGAGTCTGAGGTCTGACTCTTCTTTCTCTTACATGTTGGATATTGGTGTAACTCCATCTGTTTGCATAGGACTTTTGTCCCGATTTATGCTACTGTAAATGAGGACAGAAAGGTCTTAATAAAATTTTCCTTGGCATTTGAAGGGCATGTGATTGTAAGGGATTTAATTTGATTACTTTCTGATATCCTGAATGAATCCCTGAGACACCCGTCTTTAAACCAGGAGCTGAAAAATCTATGCAAAGCCAGAGAAAGCAGTTGAGGAGTTTATGCTCTAGGGGGTTTGAGTAATGTTTACCGAATACTTTCATTTGAAGCAAGTGTTTAAGAGACACTCTGCTTTTAAACCTAATTCTGTCTTCCAGAGCAGAACGAATTTGGAGACTAATAATGAAAGAAAATGATTTAGCGATGAACAGATAATTTGTTCAAAATCAACATTTGTTTTCCAGTGTGATACTCTGGAGCTTTCAGTAGGATTCACATCTCCCGGTTAGGTGTAAGCCCCTACTTACAGCAGTAGGCTGGAAACGTGGCTGCATGAATATAGATTGTTTCATTATTTGCTCCTGCTCTTGAATTTTCCATCCCAGCAATTGGCACACAAGCCCTTTTTATTGACTATGGGTGCTGCTTATTTTTGTTCCCATATTTCCAGGACTGGATTCTGACCTCTCTCACAGAGCTCTGCAAGGAGGGTAAATTCAGTGCTATCCACAGAGTCCCAGCATGCTGAATTCAGGACTGAGATAAGCTACTTCCTCCCACTGCCATAAAATTGCTCCTGTCCCACCTACGATCTCCTAGTAGGTGGATGAAGAGATAGTCTCCTTTCTGGGTGACTACCCACAACGTGGGAACCTCTCCTATGGATCCCAGGGTATCATGTAAGCCCAAAATTTTAAAAAGAAAAGACACAAGTAACAAGATTTTCAGAACTATCAAAGTACCCAGGTTCTACTTATTACAACGGGTGTTAGGTACTTTTGAAAATCCCATTGAGCACTTAAATGCCATAACAAATCTGACCCTTAATCTCAGTTCTTAGTTCTGCAGCAGAGGTAACAGCACGTCCCAACTCCACAAGGAGGATGGAAAGATAAATATATTAGTGGTTGTGAAGCGGTTACATACTGTAATAACTGAGGCCAAGTAAGTACCATAGCCAAAGATAGATGGCTGGCAGATGGATAACTGATCTTTCTAAAGCTGAAATATTAAGCTCTTACCTTCATCAAAAATACTGTTAGTCCTGTTCCTCCCACTGAGCACACTCAGCCTGCATATCAATGTGCGAGATGATGTACGCAGGGGAAGCCTTTCTCCAGCTTACCATGCTTAATGGACAGTGCTAAATGTGCCTCTTAAGCCCTTTTACTCAAACCTATCACCGAAGCATCTCACATTTTAGAGAGGTGATGGCATGCGTGCATCTCCCAGTGAACCCCTCTCCTGCTATCGCTGGAAATCCTGTGTTCCTGGGAATCAACAAGGGAGCAAAATTTTTGGTGCCATCCCTGCTTTGAAAACTTCAGCAATAATTTAAAGGAGGTCAGCATGTGAGTTTGTATTGTGGTTCCAGTGAAAGTAATTCTCTTGGAAAGATCATTACTTACCCAGATTTCTAGTTTTCATTTCCTTCATCATAAACAGTCACATTAATCACCCCAGCAGCATGGATTATATTTCCCTCTTGTCCCTCTCCTCACCCCCTCCAAGATAACGCATCATTTTCCTTACTATTATGAACTGCTTTTTGAATCTGGGGAGAAGAGGATATTACAGACACCAAGGCAGTACCACCAGCAGCTAGGGGCTGCTGCTGTACTTCAAATAAGGTGGACATAATTTCCTTAAAAAAAATGAAGTTTAATGTGAATAGTTCAGGGAGAAAAATATTCGTCTGTGTGCAGCATTGATGCAAACAGGACTTGCAATTTGTGGCTGGTACCAAAGGCTGCAGCACAGTAGAGGGATCATCCTCAACATGTGAAAGGACTTAATGTGAGCTGGGGACTTACTGCTGCCACTTTTTAATTTTTCATTACTTTTTTTTAACTTATTTTTTTTTTAAAGGAATGGCCCCGAGCTTCAGAATTTCTCGTCCCCAGCAGGGGATTTTTCTGTATGGGGCACACACTTTGCTTGCAGTGTGGAAATGGAAGGAGAAGTTTACTCT